TTTTTCTTTTCTTTTTTTTTATTCTGGGATTTATTTACCTTCTATGGCTGTCACTGGAGCTGAGAGCCGGCTTTCTTTCTGAGGCTCAGCTCCAGCTCTGAGACCTCAGCTGCTGAAAGCAGTATCTGCATTTGTTTGGATTCTATCATTGTAAAACTGTTTCAGCTCCAGCTCCGAGGCTGGCCAGCTGAAAGCAGGTTTCTGGGCTTTGTTTAGCTTCTATATTTGCAACATTGTTTCTTATACTGCAGCTCAGAGCCCAGCAGCGGCAGGCGGGGAACCTTGGCTTCCTCCATCACTGGAGCAAGCAAGCCTCCTGTTCACTTCAGCTGCCTGGCTGCCGGCTGCCATCTTGGTTGGCAGTTAATTTGCATATCGCCCTGATTAGCCAATGGGAAGCGTGTCAGAGGTACAGTTAATTACCATGTTTGTCTATTATTAGATAGGATGTTTAGAACTCTTCCTATAAATAAAAGAAAAATAATATATATTAGTCAGCAAATGTTCACTTTCTACTTTCACGTTAAATTATAAATAAGCTATAGTATTTATGTGTAATTATACAGTTGAACTTTTACAATTTAATACTTATTTCTTTTTATATTTATAAAATAATATTTGATAAAGTTCTTACATAATATGAAAATTGGCTCCTTAAAATAACAGCTTAGGAACTTATAAAGCCATTTTCCATTTGAGGGATAATACATTTTACATGTTAATACACTATAAATCAGAAATAAAAAGTATGCCATGTTTCATTATAAGTAGAATACCTTCCTGAATATTTTTAGTGATTACATAAGGGAAAGAGAGGCATTTAAAAGATAAAAATGACAGCTACCAGCTAAAACTTGCTCCATGGAAATTATTTGCTAAGTACTTTACCAATAAGACTTCAGTGAGGGGATTGACTGTCCATTTTACAGGTTTCAAAAACTGAAGCTTAGAAAAGTGGAGTAACTCACCTATATACACTCAGTAATTATCTCAACCAAGACTTGAGTCCGCTGTTAAGGGCTGAATGTTTGCACGTTCTGCTCTTTAAATAGTATGTGGAAGCCCTAACCCCTAATGTAATGATGTTTGGAAGTAGGGACTTTGGGAAATACAAGTCTAGGTTTAGATTTGGTCATGAGTGCGGGACCCTCATGATGAGATTAGTGGCCTTTTAAGAAGAGGAAGACAGCTGCTCTCTTTTTGTTCTCTCCCAGGCATGTCCCCGGAGAAGGCCATCTGAGCACACAGCCGGAAATCGGGAAGCAGGCTCTCCCCAGGAAAGGAATCTGTGGGATCCTTGATCTTGGACTACCCAGGCTGCAGAGAATTAAATTTCTCCTATTGACGCCACCAGGTCTACGGTATTGTGTCATAGCAGCCCAGCAGACCAATACCACCACATTGCTAAAAATCACTATATCGCTTCTACCATATGAAAAAGAAATGTCACCTTAATGAGAAAAAGCTGATTTCTTTACTGCTCCAGTTCTAATGCTAAAACCCACAAGGGATTTTTCTCTTGGTTCAAATAACGTTTTATTAGAAATTAAGTTATAAAAGTATATGATGAGCTTCGTCACCAGAGAGACCTAGATCTCTCTCTGCAGAGTGCTGGTGGGAGCTCTGTGGGGATCCTTTAGTGCCTCAGAGTGCCGTGAACTCTCCGGGGCACTGCGCTTTCATGAGCACTAGAAACCGGCACGAGTACTGAAGGGAAGACTTGACAAGCTCTCTGCGCTGACCCAGAGTCTGAATGTTCCTTGTCTGCGCTCCCTGGTAGGAGATTTTCTCAGATTTTCACTAATAGCCAGCAGCAACAGTACATGCTACACAGGCGGTGCTTGAGGCTCCCGGAGGGATGAAATGCCTCCTCATCACTCGGCAACCACTTTGGCAGACTAAAGGGTGACATTGATTGGCTCTGAACAAGTGAGTAAGTATCCAAATCTCAGGAGGAAAATATGATAGAAAAAAAAAAAAAAGAAGCAAGCCCCTTTAAACCAATCTCGCAATGTTTCAGATCCATAAAATAAATGCAAATCCATTTGCAGTGGGAAATCCAGTCACTCGAATGAGGGTTCCGACAAAGTCATCCTTAGAAAGTGACACATTAGTTATTTTATTCATTAATTCACTGTGTACTGAGCTCCCACTGTGTGCCAGATACCGTTCCAGGCCCCAGGGATGCAGCCCGAACAAAATGTCCCTGATCTGGAGGAGAAAGACAAATAACTAGATAACAATCAGGTGGTGATAAGGCCCAGGAAGACAAGTGAAGTGAAGGAAGAAACAGAGTGTACTGTTAGGAGGGAAATGGATGCCATCTCCACACGGTGGTCAGGGAAGGAAGGCCGGATTGATAAGAGACCTGAAGGAAAGGAAGGGGCGAGCCTTCCTGCTATTTGTGGAAAGACAAACTAGCAAGAGCAGGATGGCACATAAGGCTTTGGAAGACCGTGCAGGGGTCCTCAAACTACGGCCCGCGGGCCACATGCAAATACAAATATTGTATTTGTTCCCGTTTTGTTTTTTTACTTCAAAATAAGATATGTGCAGTGTGCATAGGAATTTGTTCATAGTTTTTTTTTAAACTATAGTCCGGCCCTCCAACGGTCTGAGGGACAGTGAACTGGCCCCCTGTTTAGAAAGTTTGAGGACCCCTGCATCAAAGTGTCTAGAGCAGAGCAAAGCGAGGAAAGAGGAGATGTAAGGGGTAGTGTGGGGCCAGGCCTGATGGGTTGTGCTAGGTCTTAAGCTTTACTCTGAAAAAGATGGAGGATGATTGCAGGGTCTTGAGCAAAGAGGTACCATTACAATGGGTCACAATTTAAAGGGACCACTCTGGATAAAATAATTTAGGAAAGAAGGTGGAAGCTGAGAAATCAGTTCAAAGTTACTCCAGTTGTTCAAGAAAGAGTTGATCATTTGAACCAGATTAAGGGCAGGGGAGATGATAAGAAATGGTCAACTCCAGATATATTTTGAAATTAGAATGGACAGCCTTTGCTGGTAGCTTTTCATTTTTTATAATTTTTTTTACAAGTTATCATTTTTATATTAGTAAAATAAATGTAGATATATCTGAGTTATTTCCTCTGTAGATGTACAGTAACTCATTTTCCAGCCTGATAGCTTTTTGAAAGGAGAATAGCTGTGTTAAGGGCAATGCTTGGATATGATAGGTTCACAGCAAATACTTTGAAGGAAATAAACATTGAATAAATTAATGAACTAATAAACGTATTGAGAGTTGGCCGCATTTCAGAGGAACTGGCCTAATGCTTTCAGCTTATGCATGTATAGATAACAGTTCCACTCTATGCCTCAACAACAGCAGTATGCATGGGAACACTGAAACACACACAGAACACAGAAACATACACGGTGTGTTTAGGCAGCAGTGTGTTTGCATAAATGTTTGTCTAATTAAGTGGGTACCTAAACATTTTAGAGGTCTAGTCTTAGATTTGGAGGTTTAAGTCTAAGAAAGGGAAAGGAAACTCTTCCCTTCAAGGGCCTTCCTCTTTGTTTAGTTAGTACTGATTGATTGATTGATTGATTGACTGATTGATTGAAGGAATGAATGAGTGAATGAGTGAATGCTCAACTCAGCTACTACTCTCTTCCATCTGAGCTTTCTCAACTATCCCAAATGATTTTTGTAAATGAGTATAAAATTTTTTATAAATGATTTTTGTAAAATTGAGATTGATTTTGAATGACACATCTTTTATCATTACTGTTTTTACATTACTGTTTCCTCACAAAAGTGATATTCAAGATTACATTTATGTAACTTTACTGGAAATCTTTTCCTCTCTCACTTACTCCTTCCTTTCTTTCAAAAAACTATTTTCTTTATGGGTCTGTGTGTTTGCAATGAAATAATGTTAGCGCTCTTGTCCTAATCTTGAATCCACATTGTATTATAAATGTGTACTATTTCTTCATTTTGTAATTAGAAAAAGAAATTATTCATAGCACTAAGGGAATTATAGTGGGTATTACTCATTGTATTACCTGAATAAAATGGTAAGGTTATTAATACCTGGAGATTACTGAGATTTCTATTAAAATTTATATTTTAAACCCTGAGTGGGTTTGCCCCTTTTTTAGGTACTACGGAAATAAATGCAATTAGACCATTTGTCATCAAGAAGAACAAGTACATAAGAGCAGAAGAGAACAGACCTGCAGCTGGTGTGGCCACATTAGCAGGAGACTCAGAGAAGCTTTTAAGGTATAGGACTCTAATATGCAAGAAATATAGACTAGGATGTCATTAACCAGTTAAACAAAAATCCTAAATACTTGTGTTAATTTAGAGAGACTCAATCTGTGTTCAGAGGATTAGTGAAGATTCATATGATTTTTTAAAAGAAGGATGACAAAAGAAAAGGTCTTGGCATTTGCAGGTTGACTTGAGCAAGTTCCAAGGGCCAGCAACTGAAGGTGAACTCTGATTCTTTCCTGGCTTCTTCGCATTTTTTGGAATTGAAATGGATTAAATACCATGAGTAATTTGGAAGTTCTCTGGAGGGTAAGTTAGTGCTCTGATTAACACTTATTTTCTGATCATTCAACTGGAAAGATAGTTGAGACACTTGGCCGGGGCAGTTTCTTGGGGTTGGGAGTGATATGCAGAGTCACTGTGCTTGGAACTTCATGAGTTTATTCCTAAATCCTGGCAGAACAAATTCATCACTGGCTTGGTCATTGCTGTTGCCTTTTCATGCTTAGGAAACAGGGCCTAGTCCTTAAATAACTACTCTCCTCATCCTTAACTCCACAGCACACCTTCCTCTCTCTCTATGCTCCCATTGCAAACTTTATAGGATATTCTACTCGGGATATTTCTAAAAATTAAGTGATATAGTATGCTATGCTGTTCTCTGAAAATACTCGAAGTTTTGAGTTTACAGCTTATAAGGATTCCATTGATATTTCTTTACATTCCAAATCGTATGAAGATCGTGCTTAGATAAGGTTTTAGCCTATGGGCTTTGGTGATTAAGAGTAATACAAATTATACTGGTATAACACTTGCCATTTCTCATATTCCTCACTAGAGGAATTCAACATCCTTTAGATATTTTTCTCTTTGTGTCAAAATGCTTTTTAGGTACGGGCACTGGCTTATTTTCAAGTAGTTTACTTTTATTATTAAAACACTTAAATAGTCATGCAAAATTAAATGTCTCTTATAAAATTATGATGATAAAAAGAACAGGTTTCACTTCTTTCACTCATTCTTTTCTCAGTCACCTAATAGGGTTTTATATCTTTGGGCTCCAGCAAATTCTATCGGGGCCTTGCATAATTACATGGATGGCCAAATGCATATGTGTTTTAATCCACGGCTAAGAAAAGCCACGTGTAGATAAACAACATTTCAAGCTACAAATTAGTGAAATAAGCACCCACATTCTAACCATGTTTTAGAAATAATTTTAGGGTTTTTTAGCTTTTTATTGAGTTAGAATCCTTTTTTTAAAAAAATACATCTTAATCACTCTTTCTGTATCCAGAGCACCAAAAACAAAATTTATAGTGCTAAGCTTTAACTATTATAATTTTCAAGAAAATGGCATCTGAGATAATTATTTAAGGTAAATTTTTCATGTATAGAAAAGAGACTTTTGGTCAATATTTCCTGATTCAGTAATATAGTAATAATAATTGCAAGTGATGAAGGTTCTTAAGCCACAGAAAACTACTAGGTTTTTTTTCATACTTTTGTGTGATATGATATTAAAAAGCTGTGAAGAAGGTTCTAGAAGAGTTTTTAAAATATATTAACAATAAAGTCAAGGTGTCCTTGTTTTTTACTGCACATTTATAGACCTTCAGCTCCTTAAAGTTCATGGCAATATTAGAATCTAATAATGCTGCCTAGCTCAAAGTTTGTTCTCAATTTATAGATAGAAGTAATTAGAAATCTTCATTTTAAACCATTCACAATATGGTCAAATCATTGAATGACATTTCTAAGAACTTTCTATTTAAATAAGAGGAACAAATAGATCATGTCACTTTCTTGACATTTGTAGTGGTAAAAACCCTTCACTAAAACGATTGCTTTTGGCTTTCTTACAGAAAGAGTGATTAGAATATGGTTTTCAAAAAGAAGTTTCCTAACTCCCTAAAAAAATGTTTTAAAGAAATGGGGAAAAAAAGCACTAAAAACAAAAATTCTAAATTATGCTAACACCTAATTACAATTGATGTCTTCTTACTCATTTGTAACTTCTTCAGTTGTTAACCAACAGCTAGGTTTCCATTGTCTTACCTCTTGCACCCATTTCCCCATTTCCAGGGTCCCTGAACCAGTCCTTAAGGACTCTGAGCCTACTTGGTTTGCCACTAAATATAGGACCCTAGGTAACTCATTTAATGGCGTGGAAGCTCTGCGAAGCCCCTCATATATAAAACAGGAGAGTCAGGGGGGATTCAATTATATCTAACATGCCTTTTCCTCTAAATTTCATTATACAATATCCCAATCCAAGCTCCTCTTACCTTATCTTGGGAACCTGCCCTTGATGATCTGTCTAGCTCCACTCTGAGCTCTGGCATTTGAGGTTGTTTCTAGCAACTTACGTATGACTTTGGGGAAATATTTCTATTTTCTTTTGCCATTTATAGTTAAAACTCTCACCTGACTTTCTCAGACATTTCCACCTGTTTCCAAACTTGAGTAAAACCACCGTGAAAGCTGGAACTATTCTTATACTTCTTGGCAGAATTCTATGTGGGCAACTGGTCTTGTTGGCCGCAGGTCTCTTCGTCACAGCCACAGGTAATCCATCCATTTCCTTCTTGGCTGTTAGGGAAGGGCCTGGTTAGCCAGCCCAACACATTCCGCGCCCCACCCCCTGCTTCCCTGCCTTTGCTCTCTGCTCCTGCCTCAGGCTGCTCGCCAGGTTGTACTGAGAGGATCAAATTAAGTGATTAAATTACCTTTGCAGTAGAGCCAGCAAGGGCACAATGCTATTTATCTGCCGTCCACTCCGTATTGGCCTTTTCTACATCAAAAGTTCTGCTTCCTTTGACTCTCAGTGGCTCTTTTTTTTTTCCTCAGGAAACCTACCACGTCTCCCATTTGTTAATAATGAATGGATGCCTGTTGTAATTTCCATCACATAATTTTACCTCCTTATTCCCAATAACATACAAACACCTCACTGCATTTCACATAGTTTTCGGTGAGATTTCAGCAGCAAATGACAAATTTTAAAAATATTTTCACCTGTCCAAAGAATCAGGTGCTAAACATATTCGAACACAAAATAGAATGGTTCAGAAAAGTTAGGTATTTACGATTTTCACAGATATGGGAACTTAACTAATTTCATTTTAGTTATACAGTTTCCCTGAAAGTTGATGCTTTCTTATAACTGTCTTCGCTGAGGTTAGTAAACGAAAAGAACTCATGAAGAAGTAAAATCTATACCATGTCAAGGTACATTTGGCAAAGAGAATGACTCATCTTCATGCTCTCTGTGTATGAAAGAATTCAGTTGGGCAGCCAGTGATCGGTAGGAGTGGGTTATTTACCTGGGAGGACCTGGAAAGCTTTTTACAGTGTCAACAGGATTGTTGTTAAGCAGCAAGTTGGCAAACATGGGAAGGTTGTCATTAAACAATGTTGGGATTCAGAACTGTTGACGTTTATTTGCTTTTCAACTCTTCAACAGCTCGGAGAGAGATCCAAGCTATCGAAAAGGAAAAGGCACACGCATCATTGCACGCCCTCTCTCTCTCTTTCTAAAGCTTTTGGCAACCCTAAGGGTGAAGCCATCCTTTAAGTCGAGGGCTTTTTCACACGGGTTTCCATGAATGGCCTTTGGGGGGTTCATGAACTCCTGCAAATATATGTGGCATTTGCCGTATAATGATGGTCATACATGCAGTCTTCTGTTTGGGAGGTATGGGAGGGCTGACATCTTTTATTAGATTTTAAAATGGGCCTGTGAAACAATACAAACTACTACTTTGGGGCCTAAATTGAGCAGCTTGAATAATGTGTCGTGGTGTATGCTGCTGCCATACACAATTTTTAAAAGCAGAGCCAGCAAGGTAGACATGGAAGGAAAGGATGGAGCCCCCTGGTCACTGATGCAAAAGAAGAATAGTATGTTGGGAGCAGTTGGTTGGAGGCAGAAAAAATTACTGTAGCGCCTCCAAGAATGGGCATCAGGAGACCCTCATCTATGCACCTAGACCAGTGGTCGGCAAACTGCGGCTCAGCAAACTGCGCGGCTCGCGAGCCACATGTGGCTCTTTGGCCCCTTGAGTGTGGCTCTTCCACAAAATACCGACTTCTGCACATGGGCCACCTTGCTCTGCAGCTATCGCCGCAACCCCAGCGTGGAGGTCGGGACTCTCCCGCCTGCTCTGGGCCGCCGCCTGCCTGGCCCCGCTGTGTGTGCTGACCGCGGCTCAGAACTCCACCCTGGCCCCAAACGTGACTTCGGTGCCCCCCAACCGGACAATCACCACGCTGCTCACCACTGTCGTACCAGAAATCTGTGGAAAACACAACAGCTGTGTCTCCTGTGTTAATGCTAGCAATGATATTGCTAATATTTCCTGCTTTTGGATGGAATGTAAAGAAGCAGGTAGAAGCTACTGCTCACAAAATTCAACAGTTACTGGTTGCCAGGTGGTGAATAGTACAGATTTCTGTTCTGTGCCCACCGCCTCTCCGTTGCCAACCAATTCTACCCTCATGTTTCCAGCAGGAGGAGTGGAAAAGTAACCATTTTGAAATAGCCCAGAGCATTCTGTTCTTAACAAAGGAACGATTTCATCAGAGCCTAACCCATTGGGTTTTTCTGAGCCTCACAACCAAGGGAAAGGAAATACCCAACTTCAGCCCCTCCACCTTCCCCGTGGGAGAAGGGGAATACCAGCCCAGCTCCTCTAGCTGTCCTGACTCACTGAACAGGGAGGGGTCGGAAACGGAGCAGCACTGTGAGGTTGCAGCCAGGGACACCCGCTCACAAGAGACTGGCTGATCTCATTATAGAACTAAGGAACACTGCTCCTCGCCCCATATCTCACCGTCACATACTAAGTGCCTGTTTACCACAGTTCCTGTTACCTAGTACAGTGGTCGGCAAACTGCGGCTCGCAAGCCACATGCGGCTCTTTGGCCCCTTGAGTGTGGCTCTTCCACAAAATACCGACTTCTGCACATGGGCCACGAAGTTTCAATTGCATTGTATGTGCATGCCCACACGTGGTATTTTGTGGAAGAGCCACACTCAAGGGGCCAAAGAGCCGCATGTGGCTTGCGAGCCGCAGTTTGCCGACCACTGACCTAGACAAAAGTTTCTACCTATTGGTGCTCATTGAAGAGCTGAGAGCAATTCCTGCTTCTCTCCGGATCTCGCACCAATTCCACTTCAGGTGCAAATGGGTTCAGCCCTTTTAGCTATTATGCTTGGCTCATCACACAGTTCTAAGGCTTACTATCTCCAGAGACCCCTGCACAGCTCTGTATTCACTAAACCAAGAGAAAGTGATGGATCAGGATTGGTGCTGCTCCAGCCCCAAATCGGGGTGGTTCCCCCAAATCCCATCAAGGTAGCCGACTTCAGAAATGGCCACCGAACATCTAAGACTTGGCCTCATTTCTGCTTATTTCACAGCAAGTGAACATCAGAGATGCCTTGTTCCACCTGGGCTGCACATGTGACTAGCGCTCACTCCTCCAGGTGGATCCACATTCATCCAACCTGTGTAATAACAACCACCAGCTTTGCCCCAGGAGGCCAGCTCTGCGTCTTTCTCTCCAAGGTAAGCCTCTTACTTACGGTACTCTTTTTCTTTCATTCTTTTGTCTTAGGATTCCTTCTATCAGGGAAAAGTTAGTTAAAACCTGTATTCTTCTTTGCGACTCTGGCTCACTTGTGAGCTGTACCTCACTTGTGTGGTCTCGTAGGGCCATTGCCCTGCCAGTGTCTGATCAGCTTCGCTCTTCACAGCTTACAAACCAGTGACTCTAGGGCTGTTCCCTCCCCATACACCTTGGCACCTCCACTCTTTTTGGGGGTGCGAGTAATCAAACTTTGACTTGCCTTGTAGTCTTTTTTTTATTGTTGACAGTATTACAGGTGTCACCCATCCCCGCCCCCCATAGTCTTAACTTCCTTAAAATGGGTTCTTTTGCTTCCCGTGAGCCTTTCAGCTAACTGCGTGCACACACACACACACACAGAGAGAAGAGAGAGAGAAAAGAGAGAGAAAAGAGAGAGAAAGAGATAAGAGAGAGAGAGAAAGAGAGACACAATCCATTTCCATAGAATGTGAGGGTTCACTCATCAAAAAGTCAAATTATCTGCCCAGCCAGTGTGGGTCAGTGGTTTATTCTCGTACAGGTCTGGAAACCTGAAATCCATATCAGCTTTTCCACTAGGCTAAAACCAAGATGTCAGCAGGCTGTGTTTTTCCAGAGGCTCTGGGAAAATTCATTCCTTTGCCTTTTGCAGCTCTATCTTAAAAAACAGTAGCACAATACCTACATCTCTCTGACCCCTCTCCTCCTTAGAAGGACCCTCTGATTGCATTGGGCCCACCTGGATAACTGGAATACTCTCCCTGTTTTCAGATCCTTAATTTAGTCACGCCTCCAAAGTCCTTTGAGTCATGTAACATCACATATTCACTGCTCCCAGAGATCAGAATGTGGACAGATTGAAGGGCCGTTATATTTTTAAAATATTTTTATTAATTTCAGAGAGGAAGAGAGAAGGTGAGAGAGATAGAAACATCAATGATGAGGGAGAATCATTGATTGGCTGCCTCTTGCACACCCCACACTGGGGATCGAGCCCACAACCTGGGCATATGCCCTGACTGGGAATTAGAACAGTGACCTCCTGGTTGATAGGTCTTCACTCACCCATTGAGCCACGCTGGCCAGGAACGGGGTCATTATTAATCCCTCCACAGTAATTTAATGATTACAATATAACACTCTAAAGAAGATATTGAATCTTTTAAATTTCATTAGACATCAAAATATTTACTTTTCATTAGCCAAATCAATCCCAGCCAGGTCAGAACTGTTATCGGAAATTCAAATGAGGAACTTTCCAATTCAACTTCACCAACGTGTTTTTGGAGCAAGTGTAGACTAGAATATGGAGAACATGCAACAGCACTTTGGGTAAAAGTTGTCGAGGTCATTTTTTCCCCGTCTGTGGATTTCCCCACAGATGTTGCAGATAAATCAGAACGAGATGGAGCCATGCACATGTGTTTAGTATTCTGCAAACTGTGCTAAAGCTGACAGACCATAGAAACTGCTTCCCATCCTTGCTCCCAGTAAAGGAGTCATGTAGTGAGTTCACCCTGCAGTTCTGACTTTTCCAGATTTTGTAACTTTATGCCCTCAGACATCTAAAACAACAAAGCCCGTGCCCAGCTCTTCAGGTGGCGGGTGACTCTCCTTTCCCTGTTCCCTCTCAAGGCCTTCCTTCCCGCTGATGATGAGTGACGTGCGACCAAGGTGGAGCAGGTGTGCGGTGTCTGCCCTGGGCATGTTGGAGCAAGACTGGAAGGAGGAAACTTGTTGTGTTTTTTGTTTTTTTAAATTTCTTACAGAAGGGAGCTGAAGGGCTGACAGACTCCCATTGGAAATGCACACACACCTGCGTGTTTTGGTATTTTTTTTTTTTGGATTGGGTGCTTTAGGCATTTTCAGAAAACAAGCCCCAGAGGAAAACCATCAATGTGAGAATGCCTTTGTGCTGTTCAATTTATTCTCAAAAGCTAAGTAGCACTTTCTGACCAGGTGCAGAAATATATATTTTTCCTTTTTCCTAAACACAGAACTAAATTGTATTACCTTTCTGGGCAATAAATCATGTTTATAAATCAAATTTAGATAAAATAATCCGGGAGGAAATACTGATAATTTTTAAATACTGATATATCTCCCTCTTACTTTAGATTTTATTTTCAAAGGTTAAGAGTGAGAAATATCAGTATTTGAAAATTGAGATACAAGTATATAAATTATGCTTGCATGTGTCATAAACATGTAGCCTATCCAGAAATGAGCATCATTAAGTAAGAGAGCTATTTATCTGATTGTTTAAAACACATTTTTTATTGATTTCAGAGAGGAAGGGAGAGGGAGAGAGAGAGAAATATGAATGATGAGAGAGAATCATTACTCACCTGCCCCCTGCATGCCCCACACTGGGGATCGAGTCCTCAACCCAGTTATGTGCCCTGACCAGGAATCGAACCTTGACCTCCTAGTTCATATGTTGACATTCAATCACTGAATCAGGCTGGCTTGGCTCTGATATTTTTACCCACTTGTGGCCTTGGTACAGTTGTGTGTTGGTAAATTTATTTAAAAAGAGGCTCTCCTGGGGAAGGAAAACCCTGATTTGCAGTGTTTGCCAGTTTCTATGGTGTTAATTAACACTCCCACCAAGGCCAATTTCAAGTCACCATCCTGAAGTCACTGAAGTCAGGGGTGAGAAGAGATGGGCACAATTGGCTCTCCTAAGGGGATGTTAGTATCTACAAATAATACAACTCAGAAGATTCATATGGATAACAAGGGGATATGTTCAGAATGAATGAATCCTGACTCTGAAAGGAGAACTATATATGATTTTGCTATTCGGTAAACCATGAGAATATATCACAGTGTCTGTAACCAGGAACATGATTTCAGACTTTGGATAGTCTGGGTTGTTCTTTTCCTAAATTCTAGCAACCCTTTCCCCCCATGTCCTATCCTGATCATTCTCAGAGTCTGCATCTTATTTCAGGGGGTTTAGTAAAAAAAGGTCACAGGAAATCCTGAGTTCTTATTTATACAGTTGACACCAAGTATACTTTTTATATATGGAGTTTTCCCCAATTGCTCCATGTGAAGGACTTGATTTCCTTCCAATATCAGCTGAAAATCCCAGATGCCTATTTGTTTGTGTGGAAATTTCCCGAGACTGCAGCTTTTAACTGTCTGACCCGAGTCGTACGTGTGCGAATTTTCCACTGTGTTGTATTTTCTGCATTTTCTCTGTTGTGCTAAGGCAAATTCTTTTACTGACGCACAAGAGCCTCTGTCTGCTCCCACCACAGTCTCAGTCCTGCCCTTAGACCTGGGGAAGACAATTCCTTCCCCTGAGTTCCTGTGTTAGACATTTGACTCTGGTTACCTGCTGGCTGTGGCCCTTTTCACTGAGTCTGTGACCCCTCTTAACACCACTGTCTGGATGTCAGAGACACTGAACCTATTGGACCTGCATTAGCCTCTCTGTCTTGTCCATCCTCCAAAGAGTCAACTATTCCATCTCCCAAGATTTTGATTAAGGGTAGCTTTTTGGGTTTTTTGTTTTTTTTAAAAAAAGGTTGGGCCTATAAAATTTTATTTTTTTCTTCCAATTTTACTTTGTATTGGTTTCAGGTGTACAGCTTAGTGGCTAATGGCTGTTTTTGTTGTGGATAGAAGTATACCTAAGGCAGCGGTTCTCAACCTGTGGGTCGCAACCCCTTTGGAGGTCGAACGACCCTTTCACAGGGGTCGCCTAAGACCATCCTGCATATCAGATATTTACATTACGATTCATAACAGTAGCAACATTACAGTTATGAAGTAGCAACGAAAATAATTTTATGGTTGGGTCACAACATGAGGAACTTTATTAAAGGGCCAGAAGGTTGAGAACCACTGACCTAAGGGCTAAGATGCCTCCTAAATTTGAACTTGGTTTTCTAGGCAAGGACATAGGTTGGAACATATTTCATTAAACATCTGTTGGCTTTAACTTTTAAATATTTAGCCATATAGTATATGGACCTTCATTTGTACTTTTGAACCAGACCCTGTGAATATTAGAGCAGGCTTCTCCAAACCACCGGTTAACAAAATGTTCTCTTTGCTCTTTAAAGTGTAGATAGTCTAGGCAAGTAAGGATGAGGTTTTTAACAGGGAAAAGTACCTGGGAAGGAGGCATGGGCATGGGAATTAATTTATCAAGAATAGAAAGCTGATGCTCCAATATCAATGTCAGGAAGACTGTGGCCAGCCTGGCCCTGGGAGCTGCCATGAGGACATATAAACATCAATGCCCAGACCAGCAGCAATACCAGTGGATGGCAGCGGTCTGGTCTTCAGGGCAGAGACCCTCTTATTTCTCCTCACTCCTCCTGATTCTGCTGTGCGTGCCTCACTCTCCTCCAGGCGTGCTCAAGAGGACTGTCCTAAGAGAAGCATTACAGGCTCCTCAGTGCTGTGGCTCTCATGTCACCCTAACCTCATCTCTTCCATCAGGGGCAGTCTGGGATTTGCTGAAGGGAACCAACCATGAGCATTTTAAACTCCTTTGGGTGGGAATAGGCATTTTCTGCATGGATTCTGGGTTGTCTTTTTCATTGTGCAGCACCATGGTATTTTCTGTCTCATGTCATCAACCTCCTTCTCCCAACTGCCCAGCTCTAGGACATTACAATATAATTGCTTCCTCCTCAAAATCATGCAGGTTACATACATGAACAATATTTACTGAGGCTTTTGCAGCAAAACCTATGTCAGGGTGGAAATCCAAATTAAGACAAATTCTAAATTGGTATCATTTTATGTACTCAAAAATGGTGTAATAAAAATTCAACATCCTGCCTATCTCCAAAGAGGTCTCCATTAGTGCATACATTACAGCAATGTTCATTTCAGTGGCAAGTACTTCCTGTAGAAGGGATATTCTAGTATTTTCTAACTGTGAGGCTAAATAAAAATCAGTTATCCCGGATTTGGGGAGCACCTGAGG